TATATATATGCTGTTTCCTAACAATACTCATACAATCATTGAGAGTTTTAAGAAGCAGTTTGTCGGAGGCAATAAGGTCAGCAATACAACAAATTTTTTTATTAGTTCACAAAATGTCAAATGTTGTTTTATCTTCGCTTATCGTTTTTGCTGTCTTTATGATAGTGCAGTGGATTACAAGCTTGCCTCCTAAAGTTAGGTACACGTGATGGGTTTGAATCCGAGCTTAGATACAATTCGTTTTGTACTAGAAGGGGCCAGCCGTCTAAAGTAATGCCAAGGCCTGTTTACCGAACGCAAAACACGAAAAACATGATCATTATCATAATGCATGGGTACTATTTTCGAATTAGATATAGCCAACAAATAGTATTTACGGAAGTAAGAGAGTAAACTATATTGTTGTTAACTAAATAGTTTCATCTTCGTTTCGCGCGCAGTGGAACAACCATTGTCTGACTGTTGTAGATCTTTCCAGGAGTCCCACTGAGAACTATTATCGTAACGTACCTGTTAACACCAGGCCACGTTAAGGTAGTACTTCATGTAACGGTCACTGGGTAACTGCTTCAGATTAGAAATCGCGTGGGAAGACTTTTTTGAAGCAGAGGTTTTTACTAAGTCAAACATAATCGTCTATTCACAAAATTTAGTTCAACGCAGACAGAAGGGCTCAGCTGATTCTTTCCAGCAGGCGGCGCTGTGAGGCGGACAACTATGATGACGGCGCCAAATTCAAATTCCCTCCTGAAAGAATACCTGCTACCAATCAACAGGCATAAACTGGAAAATTATGTTAAAAATAATATTTAGCACGCTGACGTCATGTGAAAATTGCATACAAAGAAACGCCGGCCCAGGAAAGATCTTTTTTAAAACGTACCTTTTTTTTAGTGTTTAAGAGAGTAAAAAGGGTTTATCAAAAATAATCAATATACGGTTAGCTTAGATTTGTGTCCGCGCGAAAAAAAATACATACGATACGCACAAGGGCGGCTCCGCGCAACAAACCTCGGTCCGGTATTTACTATAAACGTAACCAGGACGGTGCACCTGTGACCACTGGACCATGATATACAAACATTTTAGTCGCTTTAGGATGTAAAATGTTACATGTCTGCTTACCAGCAATAACGACTGAAGAGTAAGTTTTCTTTTAATTCGAAACATATAAGCAGATATATTAGTGATACTTTGATCTCGAATATTAAATTAATTCATTCAATTCACCATAGCCTTTGCTACCAAATGAAAGTTGAAGGAGAGGCATAGCTGTTTGAATGTTTTAAAAGTTTCCTTGGAAGACTTAAGACTAACGTGACAGGATGTTCTCATTGGGAAAAACCTACCAATACAATATAATCAAAGAAATGGTCGTTCTTCGCCTAACAATGGATGCAGTGTTTTACTCGGATACCAGCAACAAACTTATTTTGCGTTCGTCATCATTTTTCAGGGCTTTCTCTAATTATGCACTTGGCCTACTTGTTTCTTTTGACCAGAAATTTTTAAGCCAGGTGTTAGAGAAGCGGCCCATCCATGTTTTAAGACCCTATTTACGGTTACTTATTTCATTCGCTAGTAATAGGTAAAAATCTAGGGGAAAAAAACGTCTAGAGAATACGGTGGAAGCGAAAACCTCCCATTCAAACACTGCAATGACTTTAACAATCCTCGTCGCTATGGGACACCTGACAGTTTTGTAGAAACGGAAGCTTCCGCTCCGTTTGTTGAATTTTTTTCTGCTGGATAACCTCGTTTAATCTATGCAGCTGGGCCACATGCTGATCCTTGTTGTTTCATTCTTTTCAAGCAGTTTCTGCTGTATAAAGGCCTTCCAACCGCGCCGAACGCAAACTATGGTCCTTTCAGATAGAGATTTGACTTAGCTTAGTGCCTCGATGTAGTTTCCTGCTATCCATTCCTGTCTCCACTTCATATCGACGTGGAGACATATTTTCTAGCTACCCGTGACAATTCTGTGTGGACGCCTGTCATTGTAGCTGCTCGTCGCCGAACGCGATGTTCAATGAAGAAGCAATCTTATTTTCTTGTACGCTTTACGCTGTCCGTGGCACACCCAGTCTTCTAATTTCTTGTAAAATTCCGTATATTTAAGATGCTTGACAATAGTCTATTGTTCGTAGCTGATTCTCTTGATTCTTTCGTTATTTAATTCTTTGTTATCCGAGTTTCTTATAAGCCGCAGATGGCTGACTGAAATAGGAGTTTGAGATTTTGTCTTTAAATCTAGCAAGCCCCTTTGAATAGTCTGGTCCACCTGTAGGGTAGTAATGACCTTACAATTGACTTGATTTACAGTTCATAGAACACGCAGATAAACATCTTTGGCTTTTTTCCGGGTTTGCCCGGATTTAGTCGGGCCAGCAGGTATATATATATATATTGAACAAAAAAAACGTTTGCATACATTAATGAAAGAATGGGTCAAATGTTACGGAAACTGTTTTCGAGATTTGGGGTCATTGGGTTTGCTTTTCTGTAAACTCAGTATTACTTACCTAGTACTGCTTACGCAACTTTTTTTTTCTCTCTTTATATTTTAGAAATACGATCACTATTAGAAAAAAAAAAAAAAAAAAACGAGTAGTACCATTACTTGGAAAACGCACGCAGAAGTACCAAGTAACCAAGAATACATCGAAAAAACCCATGTGTTTATTTTAACCGGTATATTTATCGCTACAAATAAGCGGAAGAATCAGTTTATAATGTATACAACACTCATGCACATCTCCTCCAGTAATAGGTATAAATTATACTAAAACAGTGAACCTATTAAGACTTGAAGGTCAGCAATTTTGAAACAGACGCTATGTAGCGGTTCTTGTATTTAACTGATCTTTACTCCAATGGTCTTAATCTAGAATAGAAGTTTTTTTGCGTCACGCTGGCAAGTACAGGTGCAGAACCGAAAGTTAGTATCAATACATGAGCCAACGATGTGTTCAGAGATACTGAGATAGGACGAGACAAAGAGCTCAGTTCGGTTCGAAATGACCGAAAATAAAACAATTATTTTTTAGCATCTAATGCTATTTATACTTTTTATTCGGTATTTTGTTCAATCGCTTGACTTTCTAAACTATCATCCCAATGTTGCAATGCACTCGAGGTACAATAGAAAGAATACTTACACAAATGAAAATATTTTTAGTAATTTAGTAATTTTAGTAATTGCAACAAGGTCCAATAATGTATGCTATGTAAATAGAGACGTTATGACAACAAAGTGGACGAATTCAATATTTTTTCTATCTTCATAATGGGCACTTAAAATCTATCTGTTTCTTGGGATTCTGAGCGTGATGCCTGCTGCGATGGGTGCCGTTCGATGGGTCTCGTGGCACGTCTCGAATCGGTGATTACCATAGCAAACGCACACTGAACCCTGCAAGCCGCGTCTTCGAAAATCTCAGAATTGTGTTGCGTTTTTAACAGAGCAAAGCAGTCTGATATACGAACCGGCGTGCAGTACACCTAATAGGTTGGGCAAATGACAATACAAGTAGGCGTGAGTTTAAGAATATATGATTTAAGTTACGCCGAAGTAGGAGACATAGGAACGGCGCATTGCGATATCAATTGAAAAAATACGAATATATATAATAAAGAGCTTACTCCTTCAGCTGTGCATGTACAGCTTCTGCACGGAGATACTGTTAGCGACTGTCCTCGCGGTATGTTCTTTGCTTGCACGGAACACGACTCCCCGTCTCTCCAAAGCTTTAAGTCCAAGGATGGTAGCGTACTGCATGCAACTCGAGGATTTCTGTATTGTGAGGGTCAAGATGTTCGTGTAAGTTTGTAAACTATATTTTGTAAGGGGGTTAGCCGCATAAATGTTTGCATGAGAGATGCATCAGGCACGTACAGCTTCCCAGCAACAACAAAGTGAAGAGCGACCATGGCTTTTCATACAAGACGTGAAGCGTATTGAAGAAAAACATTGCCATCATTAAACTGCTCAGAGAATCTACTTAATCCACATGTTTAAATCTGCGTTAGCTTTGTAGTTATGTAGATGGTTTTTGCGGTTATTATTTTTAACGGGTGGCCCACCAGGTAATGAACAGTTGGCTAAATGGAGGTGATGATGCTAAAAAATTATGGGGTATGATTGCGCATAACTTAAAAATGGCATTCTCAACGCTAAAAGTCGTCCGCGATACGCGGATATTGTAAGCCCCACTCATAGTTTTTTAAGAACCTAAGAGCACTAAGAAATATTTAGAGTATTCGACCGTTCTTTTCAAATCAGGCTCTGGTTAGGACTATTGCTTTTAAGCTGGTTCTGTTGAGAATAGATTTGTCTGGTAAAAGGACCACTTACAGAAAATCGTCGATTTGGTCGAAAGCATTCTTCTGAACTGTCGTTATCCGATCAGAATTATCACACAACAGCCGCGACAAAGTCACTCCTCGAAGACCTGCCAATTGAGCTGCCCATGCGTTCAAGACATTATGTTTTATTTAACACTGGCTTAGCGCAACAATAACTTTGAAGCAGGAAAAAGTTACTTTATGTGAAACCTCGATTGAGACGAAGCCTTGCAGTATTTGATACGTTAATATCGCCAGAAAGCGTTTACATTGTGGGGATGCTACATGTGAATCATATTCACGTTTTGTCACTGTTGAAGAATCAAAATGGTTCGAACTCTTATTAGAGTGGTATCGTTAGTGGCACATCGGAGCCAATAGCCTGCCATGTCCTTGTATAACAGATTAATTCGTTAGAACTCTTACCTTCAGAGAATCTAACGGCTGGATCGTCTGTCTCGAAAAAGAATCGATCTCCTCGTTTCATTTTGGAGAACTGGGCACCGATAAGACAGGCGAACGTTGGCCCTACTACAGCTCCATGGAGTGACCGCTCCGCAAGTCCACCCGTGAACAGATCGATATCGTCTACATGGCTAATTTAGTAGTGAGAACATGTTATGGGAAGGAAAGGTTAGCTCCTTCGTTGTTAGTTTACCTATCCGATCACTCAAATGATTCGCATGAATAAAAACAATTACGGCACAATATCTACAGAAGCAGTTTTAAGCCGCTTTCAAATTTCCACAATTCGGGAATTTTGTAATTCATTGGAAAAACAAAAAACGAGTGTAGTTTAATAGAACGCTCAGAAAATTAATATCTCATAAAAAGCTCGACCAAGTGTTTTCTAGTTTTTGTTATTATTATTAACATACGCATAAATAAGAGCCAGGCGATGTCTAACAGCCTCCGGTATCTCCACGAGATCCTCGAATGACGTTGCTCTGTTCAGATTACATTTATGGCGGTATTCGTTATAACCACTTAGGCCGTGGTCTCTGGCGCGCTGAAGGTTCAACGCTATGAGATCCATGCCGGAGAAGGGCTTTCTCCTTTCTTCGAATAGATGATTCGTCACCTCCTCAGTTACCGCGCTATCGAAGTTCCGCATCGATACTGAAACTAGCCCGCGCAACATCGAATCAATTGCGCCGGCTAAACAATGCAATGCAATACAATACAATTTGAGTGCCTGGTAACGAAAGCAGTAATAATATCACGTATATATATAATCTATTCATTATATCGTGTGAGCATTATTTCCCATTTACTTTACATCAAGCCCTTGAAAACTTGAACTATATAGGGTTACGACCGTATTTAGGTGCGCAGGCGTCATTTAAAATGGATTTAAAGAGAGAGATAACGGGATAATAGAGCACAATGATTAGATCCCACAGGAAGTGATCTATACATTATTTTAGCTATATTTTTAGATAATCCTTTCTGGCAGTACTACATATAGCGATGTATCGTGCCATAAAGTTTATCGTGATTGTATCAGAAATCCTCTAACTAGAATCACAGAACATCTTCATAAGTAACTATAGTAGTATACGTACAACGCTGATACAACTGTTGATAGTTACAAGATTTATGTCAGCATCGAAATTTCTAATTTTTCAAGTCGATAAAAACGTATCAAACTTTCCCTGGTGAAAGTTATACAATTAGAAATGGACTGACAACAAAACAACAGTCCATTGAGCTATAGGGAACTATATTCATAGTGATCGTTCTGCCGAAGTTTCTCTCTAGAGCGTACACATGGCCTGATTGAGGGCCTGCAAACTGTGTTGGTTTTGCAACACGCCAAATTTATAAGCAGGCGGACCGGCATTCCGTTTTGCAAACGGCCTTTTATTCCTCTACCTTCGATAGGACGCCTTCTGTTTCCAGCTGCTGAGAGAAACGTCCCGCCTGCTCTATATTCATCTGGAATCGGCTAATGCTAGAGCTAAGCGCACATTTTTTTTGCTCTGAAATCTTCTTAAACATATGTCTTCAATATATGAAAGTGATCGTGATCCCATGAATGGCTACGTAAGTCTGTTTGGCTGCGGACATTGGCTAACTCTTACGTCTGTAAAGCATATCAGAGTTGAAAAATCCTTTGCGAAGCTGTAGAGCTTCCGGCCGCTGTTCATCGTATTCATTTCCGAGAAGTCTGAAGAACGGCGCAATCAACGTGTGGCCAAAGCGGAAAGCAGCTGTACTGAACTCATTCCATACACTTGGGTCCACCTGTACGTCCATTTACGGAAACAAAGGAAAATGGGCATGAATATCCAATCTAATTCACTGACTGTGCAAGCGTCCAGTTAAATTCATGCAGAGAACCCATGAGACATGCAAAACGTGCGAATAGTACAAGATATCACTATGTGAAAGACACTTGTGTGAAACAAATGTGGGCCACATATATATATATATATATATATAGGTTAGCTTACAAAGCTTGATCATCATGCAGTACAACTAAAGTTTTACAGCCCATTGACATCCAACAGTATTTAACTATATAACAAGTTAATTTTCTGAACGGATTCCGATTCTGTTTAACGCCATCTCTACAACGGCAAACATAATTCTAACCACCCGGCCTTCTTTCGACGCCATCCTAACGGACGCGATTATCCTTACGATCCTGGTCAATAATTCTCATTTATATTATGAATACAATGTAACAAGTGAACCCAAATATATTTAATGCATTTACATCATAGCACAAGCCACCCCGAATATACCCATACCTCTGGGTTGTATGCGCGAGAATACCCGTTGGAGGCAAGATTGAGTTCATAGTGGTCCATAGTCGCTCTGCCGAGCACCCGAGGAAGAAACTCCCCATAGGTTATCTGTTGCATTTCAGCCGAAACAATTCGACGACCTATTTGTTGCATTAGGCGTAATCATGACAAATAGGCAGAAAGAATAGTCATTACTGAGTTGGCTGTTTATATCTTAATACTTTAGTCAGACAAATATGAACAGCACAGAGATGTCAATGTAAGACGATCGTTCTTTCCTGAGACCTATCAAGATAATCATGATTTCTTAAACTATTACTAGGCCTATATATACGCCTACCTGATAGGACATACCTTCTTGAAATAGCCGTTCGTCCTCCCAATGCGGATTGACACGGGAGAGCTTTTCCACGACACGATTGTGTTCTCGAAGTAACATGGTGTGAATTACTGCCAGGCCAGGCTGTTCTGACACGCGGTCGTCGCCTGCTGTGAAGCACAAGCGTGACGGCGCACGACACTCCTTATGCGTTGCCGTCTGAGCATCAAGACAAGTTGCATTTTAGGCAACAACAGACAAATTCAATGAATAAACTTGTTTTTAAAAGTTTATCCATTTAGTTTGTCAACAGAAGATAGCGATAGTGATTACGTCTTTCGCATAATAAATTTCAATCAAATCCGTCAGGATTCAGGCAGACACTGATCGATATCTGGTTCAGCTGGAGTAGCCGTGTGCATCTATAGTACAATGTGAAAAGATCAGACGAACTATCCAAATCGATTGGTTAGATCAATATGAAAATAGTCAAAAAAACTTGTTCAGGGAATATAATAACTATGATATAAATAAAATGACTATACCTGTGGCGGAAGGGGCTTTAGGCCGATCCCGATATTTGTCACGTTGAGTCGGCCACCACGATAAGACCGAAGGCGTCGCATTTCACAGCGATTTGAGCCGTAAACGGCTGAAGCATCGATAAATGCAGTAACCTATAGATGTAAGGATGGTTAATTTTTTCAATAAGACCAAATATGCTATTTACTCGAATCTCCTAGTTCTAAATGGCTTCTGATGTCATACAGACTCACAATCGCACCTCATGAACGCCACGTTATCAACTGTAAATTCATTATTATTATAATAAAAGATTATACCTGGTTAAGTTGCTGACGGGCGCCTAGATTTTGTTGGCCAGGCAGTGACCTACGTTGCAGAAAGCAATGAGCCTTGTTAATTATTTCTATTGAGCCGTCTTGCCCTAATGACCTGTTTTGCGGTAACCTTAAATAAGGCCTCTTGAATCCACAAAAGCCCAACACAGTATTTTTTCTTGTTTAGAAAACTGGTCAGTTCTACAAAATAGAAGAAATATTTTTCATATAAATTGCTTTTCTACCACACCCTGAGAATAGTGCCAACAAAAGGCTTACTAACGTTTTTGCAAGGTTCTGCTATATTGGATATAGTAATATATCATGCAAAGCGAATGATGTTAATAGTTTTCCTTAGTTCGAAATGGCTTTATATTTAGAATAAGTAATATACGAGTGAGCCCTGAACCCAAAAAGGTTCGCTGCATTTATTAAATTAAATGTAGTTTAGCCAGTCAGACTTTACCTCACAAAGCTTATACAGTTATTCGATCCATCAGGCTGTCGCGCAGGGAAATGCCGGTCGCCCGGGGGTATTTTAATTGGCCTGCACTCAGGATGAACCGTTGTAGCAGAGTCGCAACGTTTGCAATCTGCAAGCATTTCAACGATATTTTCCAAGACATGATTTATTCTTATGAAGAATAGCTAATAACAATTGCTTGTGTGCCATTTGAATGATACCTGTTAACGTTTTTATTTTTTTACGTAGCTCGATCGCGAGCTCAGGAGGGAATATGAAAGTTCTAGTTTTTGAAGGGCGACAGTTCCCACATTTTATAAAATAATAAAAATAGCTATGGCGAATAAGATAGCAAATAAAAGCCCACCGAGAGATTATAGAAGATACTACCAAAACCGAATTAGAAAAGATTAGATTCTAATACTTTCTCGTATTTTATCTCATACTAGGAACAATAAGAAATCGATATTTTCCCAATTATGAGATTTCATTGTTTTCAATTTGCATTTTAAGCTTTGCTTTCAGCCACTACTTGGGCCCGATTTGGCACAGTATATTCTTACAACTGCGTAGCATAGTTTATTGGCCAGCACGTTCTCTATTGTATGGTTCTTGAAGCCACCGTTTTTTAAAAACGATACACCTTCTTCAAAACCTAAACTCAATAAAAACAATACAACAACTTGTAAAGTAACCGTTAATATCAAAATTTGACGTTTGGTACAATTCGATAGAAAAACAACAACTTGTCTAACAAGTAACTGTTGGCGGCGGTAGCAGTCAGTGAAATTATTCAATTCTTGCTTTCCGGACTCTATCGAAAAATTACGACAATGACCTAATCGTTTTCCTCATGTGTGTTGTTGAGTTTGTGCCGAGTCATCTAGCGATTATCATAGCGGTGCATCGTGTTGCCCCACACGGGTGCAATCAACATCGTTTCACTATTCTAATCCAGATGTAACATTACGTTACATTATCGCATCGGTAAGAGGATCCTGCTCATTTGTAAAATTTATGTGCTGCGATGAATAGATATCATGTAGTTATTTCCTGGAAATCTATCACTCCTAAAATATGTAAGCGACCATTTTCCGCCGATGTTAACTAATCTTGTCAGCGTCCTCTTCCCCCGAGTTTAGCGTTTGCTACGTTTCAGTGCTACCTTATTTCTGATGGAATCGTTCGACTGCAATTTTATCTGACAGTTTCCGATTCGTCTAGATGAAAACATTCTTCTGCTGCGGCGATCCATGCCGTCACCGACGCCGATAGCGTTACAGACGCTTCGTTCTCGTTGTCTTCGTCAAAGTGACTCACGTTTGATAATACATCATCCGTGTTCAGTCTGTATGTAACTGTTAAACCGTATGCTCTAATATGGTAAAACATTTCGTAGACATGTAAACATTTCTCCCTGGCTGTTACTAGACCGTTATGGTGTTAATTTACGAATGCAGTTGGTCGTACTGATATTCGATTTGTCCGGGTATTCGACCATCGGTGTGAGCGTGATATCATGGTCGAGAAACTGGCCCCATTGCATAAGCATCAGAGTGTAACGACGATGTGCGTCGGCGATGTCGTAATGTATCGCTGTGGACACTGCTCGAGGATTGGGCAAAGGCTGGCCTGTCGTGCCAATCGTCGCCATTTCCGACACGCCTACACAAAAAGGATGAAGAGCATTGTACATGTTTTTATGTGCGAACATAAACAGAGGTATCTCGAAAGTCCATCGAATCGTACAGGCAACAATAGGCCCAGGCGATAAAGCGATTTAAGCTGCTACTCGATTTCGATTTCAATACGGTTGATTAAAGGATACCTAGCAGAATTAGGGCTCTTAAGTCAAACAAATATATTAGGCTCACCGTCGGAGTATTTAGCCGGGGCAAGCCGAGCAAATGGTGTGAGCGATTTCCCGAAAAAAGGGTAACGAAGATTATTGCACCAGCCGGTCATTGTGCGGAATCTTCAGGATATTTGAAACGCAAACTGTTAAATTCACTATTGACTTATTTTTAAATCCAGCGCAGAATAATATTGTTTTAGTTTGCCCAAGGCGGCACTTTGTAAACCTACGTCTCAGGAGCGAAATAATAGGCATGTTTAGGTGTATAACATATTAGTTCAATAAATTCTCAATACGTCTTCTTACAAGCCCGTTACCCATACCGAAGCAAATCATACGGGTAGGGCAGATCTATCAACTCCAGCACTTCGCGTTGCCAAATTCATTCCGCTGGTCACACCTTGAATTGTGACCTCTAAAAAGCCCTAAATGTCATACAAACCTATTTACTAATTCGGAAAGTGTTATATATTCTAAGATGCGACTAAAGCCAATCACAAGCCGGACAGGTAGGCGTACTTTGTAGTGTGATCACAAGGCAAAACGGTATCATCGCAGTGTCCAGGAGTTCGCGTGGGCCGTAAATCTTCGGGTAATCCGACTGTTGCCAACATTGCCAACAGATCTTGCATGCTATCCGCCTCACGCTCACCGTCTCGATCTGAACTGTAAATCAAATCCAGAAATAAACACAAATATCACCATTAGCATGATTTGGGAGCTCTCCGTTATTACGGCAATAACCGATGAAGGTATTTCAAAACAAAGCTTCTGTCAGAACGGATATATTGGGGTGTTCGGAAAGGCTTCTTTGTGCCTTATCAGGCCGTGGTTATCGTGACGTTCTTCTATCTGAAAATGTACTTTAAATTTCTAAAATTTGTGGCTAAAAACAATTGTTTTAGATAGCTACTTTTGCGGAGCTCTAAAAGTTAGCAGTACGCTAGGTATGACAGGTGTCATGACGATGTCATAGCTGAAAACACTATTCAAACGTAGCTGCAACGTTTCAACATGGCATCCTAGGCCCAAAGGAGGCGTTTTGCTGAGGTTTTTTGGAGACGACGTGTTTAGGTCGACCGCTTTTAGTAAAAGATAGGATATTGGATAAATCTATATCTCTGAGCTATAAAGTCCTCATCGAACACAGAGCAAACCTTCACTTCTCCTATAGCCATCTTTGTAGTCCAAAGTAAAGGTCCTAACTTTTTTTTTGAAGCATTAAAACGAAACATTATAATTAGTGTTTGTTATAGATTAGCATCACTCTCCGGCAAATGCAACTGCTTATTATATGCGTAGCAGTAGCATACGACGTCTGCACCGCACGGTTAAAGACTAAGCATTGATCGAGGACATACAGGCACGCTTTTGAAGCTAACACTCGCTAGCCTATCTAAAGGGTCTATTTTTTTCCTATAAACTTAATGAAGAAAACACAACGAGAATGTTTCCGGTAAAAAAAATATACGATATAGATTTATATATAGAATTGCAGCTATGATAGGGTTATCCATTAGACATCGGGCAACTGTGAGCGTCAGAAGAGAATACGCTCATGAATTCGAAACTGTTGTTAAAAATTTTAGCTCTTCCACTTACGCAAGAGTATGAAGATAGTTGAAGACAATTCCTTTCGAAGCAAGCTCCAGCAGTAGTGACTCGTTAGCTAACCTCAGTGCATCTTCACTTGGTCGAAGCAGAGCTGAGAGAACGGCCTATGTGTACTCATGTTTTAGGCACACGCGTACAATAAAGAAATCTATTTAATATCATCGGTAACTGCGTTTGTGAAGTTAGTCAGCGCCAAAAAGTCATTCAAGTTCGTATGATATGCAATTCTATCTAAATAAAAAGTAGTTCAGTCCTATGTTTTCGAACCGTGCGAGACATTCCTAAGATAGCTAAGTCACTGTAATTTCGTCGACAAATTACCACTTTGTCATAAAATATTATTATGATTTTTATTCGCTAAACATATCCGACGTAGCGGCTTGCCCTAATTGAGCTTTGTTACCTATCAGCATTAATGAAAACTAATCTTATTTCATAAAATCACAATTTGCTTTACAGTCGATATGAGAAGCGCGTTGATTAATACGGCTGGGAAAATCAGAAAAGCATACACAAGTGACGAGGAATAGGGGGCGGCAGAGAATGCAAATACAGAAGGCCCGACGAAGGCCCTAATCTCTCCACGCAAGCATAATGTCAGCTAGAAATCGCCGATATACTGATATTGCAGCAGAATCAAATCGCAGCTTATTAGATGCCGATGGGTATAGCGAAATACAATTTTTATCGTTTTATCGGCCCGTCTATATTGAAGTTCACTTCTGCTGTCAATGCCCTCGCGTTCTCGAAGAACTGGCAAACTTATGCTAGATCTAGCCTAAGTAATTCTAACCTGAGACGACGCTTGATCTGGACTCCCTTGTCTCTTTTGGAGACGAATCTCCTCTCGACGTAGATTATCGAGTTCTTCACGCGCTATGCTCAGCTGTAGTTTAAGCTGGTCCCTGCTAAACTGATCAGTGAAATCCGCTGAACGCAACGACTTCCAGGCAGAGAAATCAACCCGCTCCAGCCCAGGTGATGAACACGCCTCCTCTGCGTTCCTGTTCAGTCGAAAAACCATAATCAGTCTGTAGTCATAAGAAGCCTCGTATACTCGAATTTCGCCATTTCTCTAGAATTCTTGTAACTAAATTAACCTCAGGCCAAAAATTTGCTTCTGTACTTCTTTCCGAGAATCTGCATCGGACAACTGCAATCAGCCTTTTTTAGAACAAACGACAAACTTGTTTCCGAAGGGGCAAAAGTTTCATTTTTGGGATACGAGAGAAGGTCAGCTAGTTTGGACTTTGGACTGGACGAACTACACAACCATTAAAAAGTTCTTCTTTTATCCAAAATTGACGATTTATCTTAATGCCAATTTTCATGACATTTCAAAAAGAACATCTTCATGGACCGAAATGGAAGACGCTCAATAAGGTTTATAGTTGTAGATCTCTCTAATTTATAAAAATTATGCAAAAGGGCATTTCTGATAATTCTGGATTTTTAGTGCGAAAACTGGCAGTCGTTTGCGCTAGGGGAGTCTCTAATGCTAATGGTTTGACCAGATAAACCTTAACGGTTTATTTTTTTAGGGAAGTTTGAGTACCTCTTGGACATTTCGGACGTCTTTAGTCCTTATACTTCTTGGACCTTCGACATGCTATCGGCCCAAAATTTAACTTCGCTAAGTTTTTTTGTGTGGATCGTATTTGAGTAAGACTTTAACAGGTCAATATTTACGGATATCGCTTAGGGCAGGGTCGATCACGCTGCGTACTAACCTATGAAGAAGTTGGTTTAGTGAGATTGGGTTAATCGTACGCAGTGGACTACTTACAAGAACGGGTCGGGCATAAAGAGCGAAGCAGGTTGTAGCTTAATAGCGTCCCTTTCAGAGGCAACGGTGTTATCGCAGATCAAACGGGCTAAAGATACTCGGCGGATTTGCGCGAGTTGTTCTGCATGTAGGATGACCGGCGATTATTAAGCAAAAGAAATGGAATGACACAATTCACTCGTCAGCATCAAACAACGATTGTGCCGAAACAAAACTTTTAGTGCATTATATACTAGTTTATCAAGAGGCCATCGGTATTGCAGTGCGTTCCTATAATGGTACAATAGGTAAAGTTAGAGTCACAATAAATGGTTTATAGTGAAAATCGGCCGTTGATACGCTTCGTTTCAGGCTGGGGCCAAGCCAACTGAGGTAATGCTAGCAACGGGTGTTGTAGGTTACTTCGACAGACAGTGTCCATTGTGTTGCCAAAGCGGTATTGAAGTATATGTTTGTTTGTATTTATAAAATCTGTAAATAGTTTGGTAGATCATATGTGTAGGAAATCCGTTCGCCTTGCTTACCTTTACTAAACTTTGAGGGTGGTAGATCGTTCTCATAATAGAAGCGGTCTCCCTGTTTACTTTTCTGAAATTGCAAACCTAACAGACATGCAAATGTAGGACCAACGACTGCCCCTTCCAGTGGAGTTTCGACCATCCCCCCAACAAAAAGGTCCACATCGTCGACAGATCTGTACAAAAGGCCCAATGGGACAAAAATGAATAGTTAGAATTGAACCAGGTGGCATCTACAGGCACACACTATATTCTGTTCACAGGTTAGTAGAAATATTTGAACATCTACCAAGCGATCGAATGCGTCCTAAACTGTATATACACATGATACCATTAATGACTCTTGTAACGAACGAAAACGTCTCTAGAGAACCAGTTAGCTCTATAGCCTGAAAAAAAAAACGATACTTTTTCCAGAAAATGTACAAGACCAAATTTAAGAAGCATTTAAAACAAAGTTTAGTAAATCTCGTCGCTTTAGTGACCGACTTTGACCTAGCGATTTACTTTTTCGGATATTTTAATAGTAATGTAATTTTAAGTTTACGAATAGTAGAGGACGCATTTTACTATCAAGCGACGGCGATGATACAGTGCATAATCTAAATATAAACTTAAAAAACAGCAAAAAGTACAATAAAAACACTTATAAATAGTACATAACTATGCATATAAGTGTTATAGAGCCTGGCAGATGTCGAGGCATTGATTCATACAGCTTCGCACAGAGAGACAAAAATTTAGGTTAATCCAGTCTATTTTCATACGGATAGTTATATTTGTGTATTTCGTTAGCAAACGAAGAAAGAGGGGTTATTCGTTTGTTGTGATTGGCGAAAAATATGTTCAGGGTTAAAGTTAGCGCGTACGTTTAATGGTCGATACAGTTTTACCCCCGAGTACCTACGTAGACCCATGATTTGCCACTACTCTATGTATAATAGAAGCTATTTCTACTTGGCTGCATTGAAAATAAAATGCATTGCTATATATATATATATTACCTACGACTTGCAACGGTATGATACTTACGAGTATAAAGACGCTAGGTTTTTAGCAGTTTCTGGGGTTGTGATGGAAGTGAAATCTTTGAATTGGTGAAGTTGCAAATCGAGACCGCAGAAGCGGCGGAACGCTGTGTAACCAGGTATACCATGATCGCGGCCTTGCTGTATTAAGATTGAGACATCATCTAAGCCCACCTGTCGCAGATCGCAATAAAAAAAGTCCAAGTGCAAGAATAGATAAAAAGCGACATTTGAAATTTCTTACCCAGTACAAATTTGGACTACGATTGTATCTAAATAGTATGCAAAAACTGTGTGAAAATTATTTACTGTTTATCTAGACAAATTTTTAGTTGGTACCAGAGTATGTTATGCATGCACGCCGCGCACTAATAACGGAGGCGGCGTGTAAGCTTCTTAAGTTTCTATTACGTCTATAACAATTACATGCTTCCACTGTATGAAGGGAGAAGAACAACAAAGGTTCCATTGTAAAACAATAAGTAATGAGCAACAAGGCACCTCATATAGTTTTCATATACGCCTACATACTGTTAGCCCATAGTGTTAAATGCGTAAGTATTCACGTTGACACATACACGGCGCCATAGGACTATATGGGCTTATGGGATCTGTTATTAAGAGAAAGGAGCAAAACTAGCATTTCTATTCCCGAGTTCAAAATCTGCGGTTCTATTCTGCAAACACTCTCGAACTCATACAACATTATCACCAAATCGTCATTGCTTTACAAAACGCTATCTATCTTCGTTCCACCATTTAGTCTTTTCGATCTCCGACAGCATTGTCAAGTGAATACAACCAGCGTTTAGCTTCATCTGTTGAAACAGCTCCCGGATCACCCTCTATATCTTCGACATCACTGATAACTATAGACAAACAGCCTTACCCCCACCTCGTTGCTTTATAGGAGCAATCCCCGGAACACTCTCTTTCAATTGATATAGAAGATCAACCTTAAGGCTGATCACTCGGCTTATATGGCAGCGAGGTGTCCTTGCTTGAGCGTCTTCGAGCAAACTTATTCGAGGCCAACTTCCAGTACCTTACAGTTAGTTGCCAGATCTCGGTACGTAGTATGTAACTGAGTTCCACTAAAGTCTATTTTAATGTAACTTAACATATTTTTATCTGCAGGTTCTGACGTGAAACGCTAAATATAGCGTTTCTGATACGGACGCGAAGCTGTACGGTGGTGCTACATTGACTAACGAGAGCACGCGTGGATGCTGGGAGCCAATTGACACGAGAGGGAGGTAAGACGCGTGCAAACAGTTTAGTGGACTGCAAGGCAACGGAGTTCGATTTCTACGAAACTACAACTGTGATTATGATTAACTCAATATCAATCCTTCTCAAATAATAGCATTTCGTACGCTTTCTGCTACTGGGCCAAGTTCTGCGTTTGGGGAAGTTATAACTTCCGGTTGCTAGATCCTGTAATGAAATAATTTGCGTCTGGAACTTGGCATTAAAATATGTAAATCTTTTTAATTATGCTACTAATGTTCGCCCTAAGCAATTACATATGTGTATGAAAAGTTCATTGTGCATACTTGAAAATAACTTCAAGATTAAACTTAAAGACGAAACACATTGTGTCCAAGGTTATATGTCCTACGATGAATAAAATTAATAATCAAGCAAAACGTAACCAATATGGATGTTCATGTTTACACGAAAGTGTTTCTTGCTTTTAACATAAACGCTATAAAATCAGTGTGGAGCAGAACAGATCAAGTAACCAACGTACTGACCTACCTGTTATACTATAATATGTCGTAGTCTAGCGTTAAGTCTATGCTCTTGTTTACTATCAGCACTTGTTGCCTATCAGGAAGTTACTTGGAGAGATTTCTGCAGTACAAGCCCTCTCGAAGTGTCAACCTGTTGCTTAATCCAACACTGTTGTCAAGCTAGGCCCACTTCGGATGCTACCGGCCGAGCCCACTCCCGTACGATATATCCTTATCAATATCAGTGGTCTGTTGTATTCTTAGTTATTTTTACTAAGACTCACCGAATGTATCCCCAGTAATTGACAAGTTTCTTATTTATGAGATCTCGTGTTCTAAATTGAAATGTAAAATTCAACAAAATACGAGGAAGAGGATGAAGGCGTATGGAGACAAAAGCCGACAAAATAAAGACATGCATATTTAATGGTCAAACAGGACATATTATGCAGGACTGCCGGGGGCACCAGCTTCTAGTACATAGCGAAGAAGGCAATAATAACAATAATATTTATTTAGAAAAAATACCTGATATGATGTGGTATTCATAGGGTAGGTGTTAGTCATTGCCGCGGAAACGTATTCATCTTTAGCCTGGGCATGCTGCGTCAGCATTCCAAGAACAAACTCGTTTATATGGGAACGCACCTGAAATAGTAAAAACTACTAACTTTTTCAATACAACTGCCACTGTTGGCATAATCGATAGAAAAGCAACGGTTGTCGTAAGAAAAAAATCACTATCGTATTTGCCAAACAGCAATAAATTGACGGTGCACGTCAATTTTCAAAAAAATACATAATATAAAGGTACTCTTATTGGTGGAAGGTATAGCGTTACAGCGTAAAATTGTATGGCCCAGAGGTCGACCTATATGGGCAATTAAATATCTTATGCTTAGGAGTAACGGTTGTGAATTTGGCTAGAAAAAAAATGATGCTTTATAAAGCAGGCTAGCTAGCTTAAAAATCATCATTTGCTTCGTAAAGCTTCGTTAGACAGCGAGAAACTATTAGCATAACATGGACTTTTGCCTTATTCGCGAAGTCAGTCTAGATGACAGAAGTAACAGTACTATTTTTCAAGGCCGACCTAACCTCAGTGAAGTCATTATAACTACTCAAGCTATCCGTGATTCTGCTCTAAACAATTACCTGTGCTTTATCATGGTGTATAATTTTGACTATAATGCATGTATTGGTTATATTTTTTTATATGACTATCTGCGCCGTTGTGCAGTATTATATATATATATATATATATATATATATATATTACGTAGAAACGTTTACAAAAGTTTACGTTTCGGTTTACAAACGGAAAATACTTTGGCGGAATTTTTCGTGGTTCAATAGACGCTACTTAGAACAAATACTTGAACAACTCCACCTTTTTGTGCATTGGTTGAAAAAGAACTTGAACGTTTAAACTCAAAACACGCCCGATTACATTTTTTGGAGGATAAAATAAACAATCATAATAGGTTTATGACAAATGAAGGCTTCAAAAGCGATATCGTAATCGATATAAGTGAAACTCGCCTTTGCAAACAAATCATGGACTTGTCCTCCTGTGAAACAGAGCAGTTCTTCCTCTAAGCCGCTTTCCAGTTTAAAAAGTTGCTTTTATTTTCTGTTACTAATGGGAGGATCTGTTATTTTTTGTTGATTTTTTATAGTAAATAATTCACCTTAGAATTTTTCAAATACATGAGGAAACGCTTTTTATCAATGAACGTCTGTTAAAAGTTCATTTAGTCGCCCCACCTTTGCGTAGGCATACCATCTCAATTAAAAACATGATTTTTTTTATGTAGGATTCTCCATTGCGTTTTACTCAGCTCATGAAGATCTATCGAGTGGCATAACACCTTCTTACATAGACTTCTATGTAAAAACATTTTCAGTCTAGTCACGCAACACTACCGCATTTGGTTTGTCTCTTTTTTTTACGCCGAATTACCAATTTTAGCTATTAGCGCAAGCATTGCATCTGAGTACAAATGTCGCCAATGTCTGTCGATTGGTGTTCAAAAACAAAGTGGTACGTTGTATAGAAATATACAGCAAATGTTTCTCCCTGAATATTTTTAAAGAATAAATTGTGTTACGTTTCCTGCTGTTTCAGCCGCTTCAACTTTCCAGTTGTCGAAACTTTGTCGAAACACATTTTACCCTATTGCCACATCAGCGAAAAAGATGTCATACATTTTCAAGATCTTAACGATAAGGACATGTTTGTGTTTCAGTTAGCCAATTGGGATCGATTGATTGGTATCAAAAAAGTATCTTTCCCGCATAGGCCTTCATGTGAATTTTTATTACTGTTTTTCCGGTAGAATTGATTTTTAAATCTTACCTTATCTTATCTTATGAAAAAAAAAAAACAATTTTAAGGATTTTCGTAATTGAACAGACACCGCTAGCAGGAAAAAATGTTGGATTCGCGTTACACCTAGCAAAGCTAACTATAGTTTAATTGCAGTTCTCTCCTTATAAAGCCACCTCGGTGTCATTTTTTTTCCGATTTATCAGAGATTTTGCAACCCCAATTTCGTTATCTCGTTCCGGTTATTCTACTACAATGCTTCAATTTTCCTCGTTCATTCAAATTAGTAGTGACATTTATGCTGTTGCAGTTTTTTTGCTTCGTATAACAGGTTTTTCCATTATAGTCATGTGTGCCTAACCCCTGACCTAAACTGTTGCTTTATTCCAGACCTATATCTTTACATACGTCCGATTGCTGCTCTTCTAAAACTCGGTAATATAAATTCAGGTACAGCATTCTAATTAGAGTAATTATATTTCTTTGATCCAGGTAACTTCTCACTTGGAAGTCGGTGACCTCGTTCGTTTAGTAGCGTTATTCTAATACCTTTTTTCAGCAGTCGATAATTTTGTTAGAATTATTTCACATTCCTTTTTTTTTTTTTTTTCCCTATTGTAGTTAATTCGTTGATGCCCGAAGACCCAACTGTTCTCGATCACGAATATGTATGTCTATATAAAACTACAAAACTTGCACGTGCGAAGTTAACCTTCTGCATGTGCTACTAACCGGAGACTTACTTGACTTATTTTTATAGCTATTTCCGCCTTTATATCGGATCGATATTATACTGTCAATACCCTATTCACTTCAATTGGTTATACCATTTGGAAAAGATATGTAATATATGCCGAGATGGTTCGTATTTTACTAATAATTTTGTAAAATAGCCAAATTAGCATGACGCCTTACTATAGAATAAAGATACTGCTTTTTTTTTAAAAAAAAAACCTATTCTTACATTAAAAAGATCATCCATTTATATCACTTATTCGTCAATGATTCATAGCTTCGGAAAAAAAGATCACTTTACTACTAGATCTCATAAACGAGTCAAAGCCTGCTCTCAAACTCGCTGTTGCGTTCATTTTGTACAACCTGAAAAAGATAAAGAACTTCGTAATACAAGCTCGTGGTAAATTATTAATTGTTATTGACCTAATTGACTTCCCAAAAATGGTTACTTTGCCCAAATGAACACGAATTACGTTCTAAGTAGACGTCGAATAGGTTCCATTTTATGCAGGACCTTTCCTAAGGCTAAACCCAGGCGAAAAATCAGCCCAATTATGAAGTCGATTTGCGCTGGACAAACCGGCCACCGAATTTTAGTTAATCTACCTAGATGGTCATAACAAATCTTAGAGTTAAGTGATTGCCATTATTATTTATTGCTTTTATTTCTAATTTATTGCTGTACGACGAGAGTAAATGGTGTCAAAACTCTCGAATAGAAGCGTGACGTTATTTACTTCACTTTTTTTTAAGTTCAGAATCTAAAGAGGGGTAGCCTCGAGCGATAAAGAGCGGATTTCTCGCATTTGCTATTCGTTTTCTTCCGAGGTCAAATAGAGAGGTATGGCGGCAACAGCAAGGTTTATGTAGGTCAGAGTACCTATCGAAAGAAGTCGGATAAGTTAAAAAAAAAAAGGCATTTTCAGCCTAGAGTGTCTCTCTCACTCTGTCCTATTTTTATGAGTTCGACAAAGATCGTTTTAAGCCATTTTTGAAAGCACCTTATTGTTATGTGAGTTTTATCTGTTATCCGAACACACTAACAATATCCTTGCAAAGCAAGAACGAGGTTTTCCATCGATATATAACGCTTGACCGCCAGTAAAGGAGAAACAACGCAATCAATTAATTACCTATGTAACACTCTGCTACTAAATTAAAATATATCTAGTTAAATTGTATGACCTGCATTTGTCTGAGAAATTACCATAGCATGCAGCACATGCTAGAAATAACAATGGCTAAAAACAACAAATAGACCTATTGAAATATGTGTATGTCTAACAATCCGTAAATGAACCTTGTCGAACATCGTAGACTTTCTAGCGAAAAAAAAAAAACTAATGAGATCCAGTTTTTAGGCGCAGCTAATGGCCGCGTATCTGTAGTTTTGTGATGACACAATGTGCTTTTAGTACGTCGAAAAAAGCTACCTTCCAGCGTATGGTACGGTTACACGTAGTACACAGTGGTTTATCAGAAACTACACAGCGGTAATACTAAATGAGCATGTCGTCGTATGCCTAGTCAACAACCAATAGTGAAACATAAGATACATGCATATGCATATGCTCCAAGCATTCCGTATAGAATACAAGTTACCTATCAGATAGTGTATGGTGAGATAAGACTAATTATGTATACGATATACACGGTTGCTCTACGACAATGTTCCAATGCCTCCACAAAAGACCAATAGGTCCGGATAGAGCTTCTAGGACCTAGCTAGACAGAGGCTGATGGGCCCGGCGTTGCGTTGCCTCATCAGCGATACCCTAAATACAGAATCTCGAACGTATTCGGAGTGAAGAGGAAAACCACGCTAACATGAATTATTTGAGCGGCGGAACGCGAGCGAGAGACTGAGCTAGTAAACGCATTTATTCCCCTTGCAGAAAAACGGACTTGAGTGATGATAGGAAATGACGACAGCCGCCAGATCCCTAGCTCGAAACACTCGAAACTAAGCAGACGGATCTCAACCGACATTTTGTCATATGTCTGTAGTATCTTTGGCCTAATACGACTCCTTCATCCGTATCGCCGCGATCGTATGCAGTGAAACAAACTTCGTTTTTACCATACACTCTAATGTATCATAACACGTTAAGCACGATTGTTGAATTGTCTTGAACATATAAAAACAAACCTCATCCGGGGCGTAGAAGGTTCGTAAGGTTTCCATCTGTGTCTTTCGGGAGCTATTGTGTAAATCCTGGAGCTCAAGGTATCCTGGCATCATAGAGATTACAAAGTGCAAGACAGCAGTTGCCGCTTCATTTGCAGTTGATGGGTCAAGATTGATGTTGTAGTCCTCGGAGTATCCGGAGTTTAAAGGGCGCAGGCGATATTTTTCCACCTGTTCCTGAAAAGAGCGATTTATTTGACACGTTTGGATCTTATAAACAGGCTCAACTTGCAGCTGACAAAATTACTTGAATGTTTTCTTGCATAAAGGAAACATTCATTTAGAAATGTAATTAATTCCGATTGTTTCACTTCGGAAACATTCGAGAAAAATCTATTCATTTATATGGATACGCGATGTTTTGTCCTTGGCAGGGTGCCAAATGCATGTGAAGTTGAGGACATTGTCAGTTTTATTGTATTTTATAGAAAATAAGCTGCACCCAAGTCCTAAAATTTAAGAGTTTAATACTGCTAAATCTACGTATTATGGAAAACTAAATCCACAAACGTTGCACGGGTAGAAGATCTGTGTAAAGACATGAACACTGAGTATATACATTCTGAATTCCTGCTTATATACATCCTGAACTGCTGCTACGATTTGGTCATTGTGGTGCCACTTAATTATAATGCAGATTGTGCTACATTTAGGTGGTCGGCGTACCCACTGTTGAACCCTACGATAGGAATTTTTACGTGCGGTATCGACGTTAGGCATTTTATCAAACCGCTGGCTCAGAGCACAAGAACGAACGAAGTCATCCTATGCCCGGCTTCGAACCTAGAGGACAAGATGTCCCTATGAATAGCAGGCAGATACTTTACCCGCTAAGCTATCACAGGGACCACCGGTGACCTAGCAATTAGCTATTGTCAGGCTCGTCCTTGGGGAATAAAAGACACGAGCGCTTGTATTCAAGCGATAACCGTTGTGTGAGCTCGAGCGTATTCTGCCATTCGTTTAGGATAATACAATAAACTATGGAACATACAGATCCGATGATCGCAGGCAGCAGCTCCGCGTAGACAATGTGCTGCAGTTCGGCAATGACGATTCTTCTCGCCTCCTCAAATAGAACATGATCTCTCCAGTGTGGATTTAAGGAGGCCAGAGTTCGAGACACACGGTTATGCTCCCTTAACCAGAGAGCATGCATCGATGCCAAAGGGGCATTTTCGTTGATTCGAAGATCACCTGGTACAAATGTGAGTACACTTTCAATTAAAATAATTGCCACTTTAACTTACCGCACACCGATCTGTTTGCTCTTTTACTAGGCCCCACCCACAGCACACTAAATATAGGTTTGTGTGTGCTCATCGGAATATAAGAAACGATGAAAATAAATAATCCAGAGCATAACGCGTTGTTAGAGAAGAGACATTTTACGGTTCGATGAATTGAGTCGGCACGGAAATCAACAGATGTGGTTTTGTGTTGTCGGAGTTGAAATATATACATGTCTATCAATAAAATAAGGCATTTGTTACGATAGATATATATATATACCTATCGTTTGGATGGGATTTTATACTCTGTTAATTCGATATTTTCAGTTCTTTTTAAACATCGAGCCCCGTTAGATTCATCTAAATATTACCTTATTCAAAATAAGCCAGATTTAATATATAGGTTTCATGCTGGGTTCAAGCTAGGTTCAAGATTACAGGCATAGCGAAAGCTCGGTACAACATGGTGAAGGCCTTTACGAAGTCAAGCTTGGCTTCCAAGAATACACGCTGGCCGCTGTTGCTAGCAAAAACTAGAGCAGATCATTGATGATTTATGGCTCTAGTAATATTGCAAAGGACATTTTGTATTTCTGACTTCCAGTTGCGTAGTTCAAAGCTCCGAAAGAACGAAGCTTTCTTCTCGGTGAGTTGAGACCAAACGTTGAGTATGTTAGAGAAGGCGGAATATCAGCAATTGCGAGAAACTCGGAAAAAATGTCAATCGGAGGAATACGAAAAGGACCAAAATGGCGCTCACCAAAGGTTCTGCTACTTTACGATAGCCGTCGTGGCGATCTTTCTCGTGTGTTTGATTGCGCTTAAAGCGGTGAGCTCGCTTAGCGAGCAGGGCGCTTCAGAATATCAGCGTTAGTAAACTGCAATAGCGCAAGCAATTGACTTGCATCGTCATCCTACAGGTACAGAGCGACCTACTCGATCTGATTTGAGGCTACCTACACGAGACGCTACTGCAGAAATAGACGAAGGGTTTCTGACGAACGCATCAGCAAGTACCCGCATATGAAGGCCACTGGTGCCATGACGATTAACGAGCGCGCCGGATCACAACGTTCAAACAGTTAATAATACATAGCTGCTGCCTGTTGCCTAGATTAGACCGATTAAATTCGCACGCGAACATGTCTTGATTATTTCGTCAACTAAAATTTATCTAACGCAACAGGGTATATTTATGATCGTACGGCCTGCGGTGCCTTCTGTTATAGTCTATATGATATATCAAAGCATGAACTACACGTAGCATCTACATTTTGTCTTACGTATATATATACTACGTGTATATATACGACGCCAGTACTGAAACTATGGCCAGTTCGTTAAAGGTAGAACAAAAGCAATAGCCGAACCTGAGATTCAAACGGCAAAGCCGGCAGGGATCCTTTTTACACGTAACGCATTAAACTTTTTACTCAAGCAAGATAATTCGCTTAAATATTGCCGGTCATTCTATGTATAGCCTCTAGAATAGTCTCGTACCGGCAAGGAAGCAGAGTTGTCCTTGACAGACCCTAGGCGCACCAGATGCCATTCTAGGTGCCACTCCTCCCTTATGAAGTTCGTGGTCGGCTAAAAGTTCTCCTTTTTGGAAGAGCCGCAGCGGAACAGCTTCTTCTCGTGAGTTTCCGTACAAAGGAGAGGCGTCGATAAATGAGGTCGCTTGATTTATCTGACGTGGAAAGCTGATTGATTTAGTTTTCTCTAGTGAAGGCACATGATAATTCAGATTTCAAAATAACTCTAAATTATTTACAAACTTGGGCTGATTAAAGCCGCCACTTAATCTTTGCTGTTTAATAATTGACGTTACTGTAAGGAATGAATACATGATGTATCTATCTCCTACATAGCGAAACTGACTTGTTCGCGCGGTCCAAGAGTGCATCCGGTTCGCACGGCTGGCGTAGAACGAATGTAGTGCAAACATGCTTTGTGGGGGTATGTCGGATCTCCTTCAGGTACACGGACCGGAAAACATTCAGGATGGAAGAGTTCAAGAGGAACTCCGCAACATCGTAGAGGCTCTTTGGCAGCACCTGCAGATAGGAAAACGTTAGTACTCTAAATTTCTTCGTGAAGCTGAATATCAAAAAGAAATCAGAGCGCTCCCTATCACTGCCTTTGGTACTTAAAGCGCTATGGCTGAGTTCACATAGGTAGCTTTTATTAAATTAATGCATATGGCCAAACTGTTACCCAGTACTCCCTCAAATTGTGTTTGTCATGTAAACGCAACTTAGCAATCATATGGTGATTGACTACATTAACAATGTTTCTGATGACCGCCTACCTGTGGAGCGAATAGATTTATTTGTTTCTTTCCATGTATATATA